GCTGTCCCTCAGCTCTTCAGCTCAAGGCTAGCGCTCTACCACTTGAGCCACAGAGCCACTTCCAGCTTTTTTCTTTTTGCTTATGTGGTGCTGGGGACTGGCACTCAGGGCCTCATGCATGCAAGGCAAGCGCTCTATCACTGAGCCACCTTCCCAGCCCCTTGGTGCAGTTTTTCTAAATGGAGCTATTTACATATACTTTCTTGAGTATATGTAAAAATAGAATTCTTACCTCCCAGTTTCAATAACTATCAGTACAGTAATAGAAATAGTTACCACCAAAATGAAAAAAAGAAAATTCAGGTACATATTATTGGGTTTATATTAGGATGGAAATCCTACCTAATTATATAATAGTAAAGTTAAACGAGTCACAATTGCTAATAAAGTTGTTCTCTTTTAAGTGTTCTAGATATCTTGTCTGACATCAATATTTTTGTTTTATATAGGTCTCTAATTAATAGAAGATGGCAAAGCCTACTCACAGCAGCTACGTCCTTCAGCAGCTAAACAACCAAAGAGAATGGGGTTTTCTCTGTGACTGTTGTATTGCAATTGATGACATTTACTTTCAAGCACACAAAGCAGTTTTAGCTGCTTGTAGCTCCTATTTTAGAATGTTTTTCATGAACCATCAGCATAGTACTGCACAATTGAATCTCAGCAACATGAAAATTAGTGCTGAGTGTTTTGATCTCATTTTGCAGTTTATGTACCTAGGAAAGATTATGACAGCACCATCTAGTTTTGAGCAGTTCAAAGTGGCAATGAACTACCTACAGCTGTACAATGTTCCTGACTGCTTAGAAGACATACAGGATGCAGATTGTTCTAGTTCAAAATGTTCGTCTTCTGCTTCCAGCAAGCAGAACAACAAAATGATTTTTGGGGTAAGAATGTATGAAGACACTGTGGCTAGAAATGGCAGTGAAACGAACCGGTGGTATACAGAACCAAGTTCAACAGTAAATACGCCACATATTAGAGAGCCGGAGGAAGAATCTATACCATTAGGTAATTTTCCTGAACCACTATTTGATGTGTGTAAAAAGAGTTCTGTGTCCAAATTATCTACTCCAAAAGAACGTGTGTCACGACGCTTTGGACGGAGTTTTACCTGTGATAGCTGTGGCTTTGGCTTCAGCTGTGAAAAACTGCTAGATGAACACGTGCTGACCTGTACTAACAGGCATTCATACCAAAACTCAAGATCCTACCACCGAATAGTAGACATTAGAGAGGGGAAAGACAGTAACATCAAAGCTGAATTTGGTGACAAGGATTCTTCTAAACCATTTTCTGCACAGACAGACAAGTATAGAGGAGACACAAGCCAGGCTCCTGATGATTCCGCTTCAACCACTGGCACCAGAAAAAGTAGCACAGTGGAGTCTGAAGTAGTCAGTGAAGAAAAAAGCAGAGCAGCTGAAAGGAAAAGAATCATTATCAAGATGGAACCTGAAGATATTCCTACTGATGAGCTGAAAGACTATAACATTATTAAAGTTAATGATAAAGACTGTAATGAATCCACTGACAATGATGAATTAGAAGATGAACCTGAGGAGCCATTTTATAGATACTATGTTGAAGAAGATGTCAGCATTAAAAAAAGTGGTAGGAAAGCCCTAAAACCTCGGATGTCTATAAATGTTGAGGAAAGAGGTGGTTTAGAAAATATGAGGCCTCCTACCAACAGCAGTCCAGCACAAGAGGATACTGAAAATGCATCTTGTGAGCTGTGTGGACTCACGATAACGGAGGAGGACTTGTCCTCTCATTACTTAGCCAAACACATTGAAAATATCTGCGCATGTGGTAAATGTGGACAAATCCTTGTAAAGGGCAGACAGCTTCAGGAACATGCTCAAAGATGTGGAGAGCCTCAAGATCTGACAATGAATGGGTTAGGAAATACTGAGGAGAAAATGGACATGGAAGAAAATCCTGATGAGCAATCTGAAATAAGAGATATGTTTGTTGAAATGTTGGATGACTTTAGGGACAATCACTACCAGATAAGCAGTATCCAAAAAAAGCAGTTGTTTAAACATTCTACCTGTCCTTTTCGATGTCCTAATTGTGGCCAGCGTTTCGAAACTGAAAATCTAGTGGTTGAACATATGTCTAGTTGCCTAGACCAAGATATGTTTAAGAGTGCCATCATGGAAGAAAATGAAAGAGATCACAGGCGAAAGCATTTTTGTAATCTGTGTGGAAAAGGATTTTACCAGCGGTGTCATTTAAGAGAACACTACACTGTTCATACTAAGGAAAAACAGTTTGTTTGTCAAACATGTGGAAAGCAGTTTTTAAGAGAACGTCAGTTGCGTCTGCACAATGATATGCACAAAGGCATGGCCAGGTATGTCTGTTCCATTTGTGATCAAGGAAACTTCCGAAAACATGACCATGTACGGCATATGATTTCTCATTTATCTGCTGGTGAGACTATATGCCAGGTCTGCTTTCAGATATTCCCAAATAATGAACAGTTGGAGCAGCACATGGATGTTCATCTGTATACATGTGGAATATGTGGAGCAAAATTTAATTTGAGGAAAGATATGAGATCACATTATAATGCCAAGCATTTGAAAAGAACCTAAGTGGTTTTCTACTGTACTAATGTCTAGTTGATAGCAGATGAAAACACCAAAGCCAACAGGATATGAGCTATTTAGAAATTGATTTTATAAGATGAATTGTTGCAAAAAAATTTTCAAGGCCCTTTTACCTTCAATATTTTTGTTTAGGACCTTAAGTATCCATATTTTAGGTGTTAAATGTTTTATCACTTTTGTTGTTTCTTAATAGCATTGTTTCTAGTTTTCTTAGCTGTGATAAAATTTAAATGTAGACTGTAAGTGGCTGTTACCCCCTTCATTGACTATTAAACTTTAGTTGGTTTTTTTTTTTATCAGTAAGGTGATAACTTCACTCTTTCTTTTCTTTTTTTTTAAGATTGTCCTATGAAATTTTAAGCCCAACATCACTGGCCATTCTTATTTCAAGTTTTAGCTTAGTTTTTAGTTTTGGACAGTGGGTTAACTGCATCATTCTCCCTTATTAATGAAATTCGTAGTCTTAAATTGACACACTTATTAGGCAAGTTAGGTGTACTAAATCTAACCTTTAAGGTTGACATGGGCTCTTACTTGGCCTAAGATGATTGATGGACCTGAGGAAATCCTATAAATGAATGCTTCCTATAATTGATAAAATATTTATCATTTAATAATCACATTTAAAACTTATATTAAGTGTAAATCCCAATGACTTTCCCTCACTTGAAAACTTAAGTGGGGATAAGCCATTTTGCTTTGTGATATTAAATTTAACTATGATAGTTAATTTTAATTAAAAAGACATCTTGTATTCATTAAAAGTATTTTAATTTAAAATATTCTGATTTCTAAAGTGTGTTAGTTTGTCAATTATTTTGTTTATAAATAGATTTTAATCTAGGAATATGACATCTAAAGAAAAATGATTTTTCACCTTTTAAATTACATACTTTTGGAACTTTGAGATTTGAGAAAGCTGCCATGTATATTGATAAATCTAATAAAATAATGAAATCAATTATTAATCTGGTTGTTCTATAAAAAGTAGAGTGCACAAAAATTGTGTTGTGTTTTATACTATCTATGATTTGAAGATGTGTTGTGACAAATGCAGTTTATCACTATGCTTCATTTTTTTCTGTAAAGGCTATTAAATTTGAGAACTATAAGATAATCACAGCTTATAAATGGACCAGTTTATAATTTTTAGATAAAATAGTAGTATTGCTAGTTTTTGACATAGGGTCTACAATGAGTACATGTGACTTAAAACACTGGCAAAACTACTGACCCACCAATAAACACCTCTACTGAATAGAATGCCTTTTAATGTGAATTACTTGCAATACAATACCCTTCTCACATGAAAGGGATTTAATTAACTCATTTAAAAACACAATCTTGTGATTAGGAATAGATAGTTAATAAGACTTTTTTATTCATTTTTTAAGATACACAAATCATTTTCTATATAATTCGCATAAAAGAACAAGTTGCCAAAAGAGTTGAGAAACATTGGCTATTATAGATTAGTTGAAAATATTGCAGCACAATGAGCAAAGAGATTTATTGGGGATGAGTTAAAATGTTCAGTGAGGACAGAAAAAGCACAGCCAGTGTAAAATTAAAATAATGGGAGCAAAGAGTCCCACAGTTGATAGTCTCATGACTAACAGGAAAAGTCATTCATCTTTGTCTTGGATACAGTAATCTATCAGATAGACATAGTTAAGTCCGAAATGTAACTTGAAACCTAAGATACCTGTGTGTATACTGCTAGAAACCTGATAAAAGTTCTTAACAAAACCAGAGACCATCAGTACAGTATGAGAAAACAAACGCAAGCCAGATTTTTAAAAAATATAGTATCTCCTTGGACATAATTTTCTTTGGATCATTTTATTCCACCCTCACCGAAAATTTTTCTATTTTCAATGGCTTTTTTTTCTTAAAAAATATTGCCACTCTTTTATTCCAATAGGAAGAAGGTTTAATTTACATGACCTCTAAATTTACCTGAGATGATAAAGTCTCACAAAACCACACTTCATAATGTTTTCTCTGATTTTGTATTACATATAGAGATACACATTTATCTTAGAATTAACCGCAGGGTTAATGGAAGGTACAAGTGTTCTAATAGAGGCATGTTCATTTAAAGGTTACCTGGCTTTAATATTAGGGGGAATGAAAAAAATATCTAACCACTTCCTAACCAGTTTCCTTTCTCTCCTGAGATGGAGTTAGCTCTAACTTTTTTGCTGTTGGACTGGGAAGAGAATGAACCAAGACTGGAAGTTCTCTGCTGCTTCCACCTTTTTTTTTTCCAACCAATTAAAAAAATATATTGTTAAGTAGTTGTACAAAGTTCCAACTCTTTAAGTCAGGGTATAAGTACAATGCATCTTGATGAATGTCACCTTCCATTCTAGTCCTTCACACTTTTTTTTTTTGCGCCATTTCCAGGGCTTGAATGCAGGGCATATGTGCTGTCCCTTAGCTTTTTCTCTTAAGGCTAGCGCTCTACCACTGAGCCCCAGCTCCACTTCCTCTGTGTGTGTGTGTGTGTGTGTGTGTAAATTGGGAGATAAGAATCTCATAAGACTTCAAGGCTAGCACTCTACCATTCTATCACTTGAGCCCCAGCTTCACTTCCAGGTGTGTGTGTGTGTGGTTAATTGGGAGATAGAGTCTCACAAGACTTTCCTGCCCCACCAGATATCAGCCTCCTGAGTAGCTAGGATTACAGGAGTGAGCTTCTGGCAACTCATTCTTCCCTCACTTAAAGTTAGTTCCCTCCCTCCCTCCCTCCCTTCCTTCCTTTCTTCTTTCTTTCTTTCCTTTTCTTCTGGTACTAAGGTTTGAATTCAGGGCCTCCTGCTTTGCTCATGACTAGTGTTCCACCATTTGAATCACACCTCCTCCCAGCTTTTTATTTATTTTGGAGATGGAGTTTTGATTTTTCTCCCTAATCTGGCTTTGAACTTTGGTCCTCTGGATCTCAGCCTTGTAACTAGCTAAGATTACAAGCATGAGTCATCAACATCCAGCCTGTAGTATATAGTCTCCAAATCTTTAGCTTTGAAAATAATTTTGTTTGTGTTAGTGCTAGAAACCAGAGCACCTTGACATGTCAGGCAAGTGTTCCATCCCCAGCCCTCCTTTTGTTTCAAACAGAAATCCTAAGGGTATACAGTTGACTTAACAATTGCCACAGTGCAACTTTAGTAACTAGAACTAAGAACTTCAGAAAGTATAACCAAGGCTGCTGTAGGCTTGGACTCAGAAGTTTTGTTTTAATTTCTCATATATTCTGTTTTTGAAGCAGTCTTTTTTTTTGGGGGGGGGGGTCTGGTCGTGGGGCCTGAACTCTGGGCCTGGGTGCTGTCCCTCAGCTCTTCAGCTCAAGGCTAGCACTCTACCACTTGAGCCACAGCACCACTTCCGGCTTTTTTTTCCTGCTTATGTGGTGCTGAGGAATCGAACCCAGGGCCTCATGCATGCAAGGCAAGCACTCTACCACTGAGCCAACTTCCCAGCCCTTGAAGCAGTCTTAACTATGGAGTCAAGGCTACACTGAGTGCTAAGTGCCGAGATTACAGAGAGGCATTACACTATCATGCCTGGACTCCTGTATTCAGATTCAGAGAAATGACCCATATGAGTAGCATAGTATGTGGCAAATGTTTATGAACTGTAATTAACAATTTGTGGAGAGAAATTAAATTCAAAGTATTCTAGAGGGACTCCTTAAAAAAATTTTAAATAAGCATAGTTTTGCTAGGGCAGGCAGAACACTTAATTAAAAGGAACATCAGGTAGAAAGAACACTGTAGTTAAAAATATGGCTAAAGCTGCTAGGTGCCGGTGGCTCATGCATGTAATCCTAGCTACTCAGGAGGCTGAGATCTAAGGATCATGATTCAAAGCCAGTTCAGGAAGGAAAGTCGGTGAGACTCATTTAACTACCAGAAAACTAAGTGGAGCTGTGGCTCAAAATGATACAGTTCTAGCCTTGACCAAAAAGAGCTTAGGGACAGTGCCCAGGCTTTGAGGTCAAACCCCATGACCAACTCCACCTCCCCTCAAAAAAAAAAATGTGTGTGTGTGTGTGTGTGTGTGTATAATATGGCTGAAGCCAGGTGTCAATGGCTGGAGGCTGAGATCTGAGGATTTTGGTTTGAAGCCAGCTGGGGCAGGAAAGTCCAACATTATTATCTCTCATAAACTACTCAGAAAAAGCCAGAAGTGACTCAATGGTAGAGCACTAGCCTTGAGCAGAAAGCAGCTCAGGGATAACACCCAGTCCCTGAGTTCAAGCCCCAGAACTGGGGGTGGAGGGGGGGGAACGGGGAAGGCTGGGTGCTAGTAGCTCACACCTATTCTTGCTACTCAGGAGTCTAAGATCTGAGGTTGGACGTTTGAAGCAAGACTGAGCAGACAAGCTAAGAGACATCTCTCTAGCCAGGAAAAAAGTCTGAGGTATAGGTATGACTCAAGTGGTAGAGCACCAACATGAATGAAAAAGCTGAGCAAGAGTGCAAATCTCTTGAGTCTCAAGTCCTAGTACTGTCACCTGCATGTGTGTGTATACACACACACACACACATGTGCTAAACTAAAACATTTGAAAATTACAGGTGAGATTAGGAGGAACTAATTTTATTAAAATAATTCTAATTAATTATAGAATTCCTAATGCAATAATGGTTTTAAACATGCCAACGATATACCTAGAAAGTGGGGAAAGTTGGTGGTAGTTGGCAATTTTCTCACTGCTCACATCATCTTCCACTTTAAGTAGCTTACATATCTATAGAATTGCTTCTAAAGAATCAGTAGCAGGGAATGTGGCTTAGTTGGTAGAATGCTTGCTAAGCATGCATGAAGCCCTGTGTTTGATTCCTGAGTACCACATAAACAGAAAAAGCTAGAAGTGGTGCAGTGGCTCAAGTGTTAAAGTGCTAGCCTGAGCAAAAGAAGCTCAGGGACAGTGCCCAGGCCCTGAGTTCAAACCCCAGGACTGGCAAAAACAAAAACACAAACTAGTAGCAGTTGTTGTATTAAGTAACTGGGCTCCAGTGGCTCACACCTGTAATCCTAGCTACTCAGGAGGTCAAGATCTGAGGATCATGGTTTGAAGCCATCCCGGGCAGTAAAGTCTGTGAGACTCATCTCCAGTTAACCACCAGAAAACGAAGTGGCACTGTAGCTCAAAGTGGTTGAGGGCAAAACCAGAGAAAAGGCTCTGCTCCCAAGCCCTGAGTTCAAGCTCCATGACTGACAAAAGTAAAAGAAAAAAGAAAAAGACTTGCTATTGTTAGTGAGAAGCTAAATGAGTAGCAAAACTAAAACAAACCACACAAAACTGTCTGGAACTGGTGGCTCATGTTTTTAATCCTACCTACCCAGGAGTCTTAAGATCTGAGGTCACGCTTCAAAACCAACCTGGTCAGAAAAGACTGAGCCTCTTATCTAAAATTAACCACCTAAAAGCAAGAAGTAGGGCTGTGGCTTAAGTGAAAAAGCCAAGAGTGCCTTTCCTGCTGGGTACTGGTGGCTCACTCCTGTAATCCTAGCTACTCAGGAGGCTGAGATCTGAGGATCACAGTTCAAAGCCAGCTTGGGCAGGAAAGTCCATGAGACTCTTCAATTAACCACCAGAAAAACCAGAAGTGGTGCTGTGGCTTAAGTGGTAGATTGCTAGCTTTGAGCTGATGAACCCAGTGACAGCAGCCAGGCCCAGAGTTCAAGCTATAGTTGAGAATAAAGAAATTGGCATATCTACTTTTATGATCCTCACATCTCAGCCTTCTGAGTAGATAGGATTTCAAGTGTGAGCCACTGGTGCCTGGTGAAAGTCTTATACTTAATATCACAATTGCTCCTCGTTCTTTTAGGAGCAGTTCTATAGATCTATTAAATAGGGAAGCTACTTAGTGATACAGTGGAATGAGTTACTTGAGCAGTGAAAAAGTTGCCAACCACCACCAACCTTTCCCACTTTTTAGAATATATTTAGGTATATCCTTGGCATGTTGCATTAGGAATGAGTTTTATGAATTAAAAATTTTGGCCATTAATCTATTTTGGTGAGTTCAACTTTTCCATCCTCTTCTTTGTATATCATTTATGGAATCCTCCTTGTAACCTGATACTTGAGGTTAGTAATGCAGTCAGGAAACTGAGTACACTTAGTGTTAAGTACTTGAAAGTTTGGGGGCGGGGAAGGTTTGTTTTTTTTTTTTTTTTCTGGCTTGAACTCAGGGTCTGGGCATTGTCCCAAAGCTACTTTTGCTTAAGGCTAGCATACCACCACTTGAGCCATGGCTCCATTTTTGGCTTTTTGCTGGTTAGCAAAGTCTCACAGACTTTCCTGCCCAGGCAAGCTTCAAACTGCAGTCCTCAGATCTCAGCCTCCTGAGTAGCTAGAATTACAGGTGTGAACCACTGGTGCCCAGCAGTACTTGAGGTTTATATTCCAAACTTTGGAACCTGTAAGCTAACACTAGGACTCTCAGTAAGCCCTACACTCATTTTTTTAGTACTCCATACTCAGAACTTTACAGGCATAATTTTAATTCCTCACAATCTGAGGTAAGTGTCATACTAACTTTCTAGATGGTGGATCTATGTTGAAAGGTAATGTTTTCTCTAAAATCACTCAGAAACTATATATTTATTAGGCCTGGATTTTGAACCTATAACTCTACTTAGCCTACATTTCTGTGCCATTAAGCTACCTGCCCCACCTACCAGTACAAAGATTGGCCTTTTCAGAATAGGGACACATGGTAAAGGTCCTATGAGGCTATGCTTCTGAGGCATGCCTGGTAATGTGGGTGTTAATTGTGGGTATCTAATGAACATTCTAGGATCATGGTTCAAAGTCAACCTGGGTAGGAAAGTACATGAGACTCTTATCTCACATTAGCTGCAAAAAAGTGGGAAGTAGAGCTATGGCTGAAGTGGCAGAGTGCTATTGTTGAGCAAAAAAAGCTAAAGGACAACACCCAGCCCCACGTTCAAATCCCAGGACCAGCACTCATTAAAAAAAAATTACTTGGAATTTCCATATTTCTATGTCTGTGACTTTTCCCTTTTATTTTCCTTTGTGTTTTTAAAATTATTTATTGTTGTATGCCAGTACTAGGGTTTGAACTCGGGCTGGGCATTGTCCCTCAGCTTTCTTGCTCAAGACTAGCACTCTACCACTTGAGCCACAGCTTCATTTCCAGCTTTTGGTAGTTAATTGGAGCTAAGAGTTTCACATGACTTTTCTGCCTAGGTTATATGCTACTGTGCCAAACCTACTACTTTAATGATTTTTGGTACCATCTGTCAGATGTTATTTTTCAAGATAGATGAAATGGAGAAGATTCTGTGAACAATGTCTAAGGATCATTTGCATGGCTCACTTTCCACTTCTATCAACTACAATGATATTTTACTTGGTAACATGGACATAATTTCACAAAAACCAGATGAAATTTACACTTATTCTCTAGCAAGAGGCAAAAAAGTGAGAGTTTGGAATGTAAATGACAATTGGTAAATGTAAAGTAAGCAAATGACAGTAACAGCTTGTAAAATCATGCTGGTTTTGAATAAATAATATGCATACAGGTAGTTGAATTTAGCATTAACTTTAACTCATTTCTTTATGTTCAGGAGACCAAATAATTTGAGTTAGCAGTGAAAATTGTTCTCCCCTTCTCTCACTTTTCTATTGAATTTGATGGCAAAAAGGAATATTATAATTTAATACTGAGCATGAATCAAATGTATCAATGTATCAGCCACCACTATACTAAGAAGTCACAAGAAAGGCTAACTTGAAGGACAACAGAAATGTTAGACAATTTCATTCCAGAGCTAGAAATGTTAATGATGTTATATAAGAAAATGAGCCTAACACTACTGACTTGAGAAAAGAATCTAACTATACAGTCAACAAAGTTTGTTCTTAGGCTTTGTTTAAAAAGAAATTTTTAAGGAAAGGGTGCTATGGCTCAAAGTGGTAGAGTGCTAGCCTTGAGCAAAAGAGCTCAGGGACAGTGCCCAGGCCCTGAGTTCAAGTCCCACAACTGACAAAAAAAAAGTGTGAGCCAGGTGCCAGTGGCTTATGCCTATAATCCTAGTAACTCAGAAGGCTGAGATCTGAGGATTGTGGTTTGAAGCCATCCTGAGCAGAAAAGTCCCAGTGAGACTCTTATCTCCAGTTAACTACCAAAAAATCCAGAAGTGAGCTATGGCTCAAGAAATAGTCAGCCTTGAGTTAAAAGAAAAAAAGCCCAGGGACAGCACCCAAGCACTGCATTGAACCCCTAGGACTGGCACAGTACTTAAACCAATAGTATATACCAGTTGAAACAGCAGAGCTCAGGTCTCAGGTTTGTGTGTGTGTGTGTGTGTGTGTGTGTGTGTGTGTGTGTGTGTGTGTTTTGCTTTGTTTTGTTTGCTTTTTGGCAATATTGTGGTTTGAACTCAGGGTGTTGTGTTTGCCAAGGCAGGCTCTATACCAAGCCCTTGTCCCAGAGCACCTGAGTTATGAAAAGTCACTTTGTTTTCTAAATGATTCTTCCCTGATGTGAGGAAAACATCCTAAGAGACAGGTCATTTTTTTAAAAAAATCATTGTTATTAGTGCAAAACATTGCTTCAAAAATATATTTCCTCCGGGAATCAATGGGGCAGTTTTGGAGAGATATAAACCTACAGATTCGAAGGAAAACTTGTCCTCCCTTCATACCTTACCCACTTCTGTGTGCACTTGATTTTCATTTGCTTTCATTTGCCGAGTATACAATACTGCACTTTAGGAGAAAGCAGTGTTAGTATGATGGCTTGAGACTAAAAAGAACATGTGCTTTACATTTTATTATATGTTTGAAGCAGAATTTTGCCACTACTAAATACATTATAAAACTTTTGATAGAAAACACTTAGCTTTTTCCCTATCCTTTATTTGTCTAACCTACCATCTTTTTGTATGGTACATATTTAGGTGCCTATCTATTCTAGCTTAGACTATGCAAAAATAAAATGTTGCCTTATGGTTGAAGAATTACATTAGTAATAAGCACATATTTGAAAGGTACAATGAGTTAAGGTTAAAAAGTAAGTAAATTTAAATTTTAGGACCTATTCTTTGTTCCTGTTCTTTAACAATGTGCTAGCTTGGTGCCAAAAACTAAGAAATTCTGACCTAAGAATATGTTGTTATTTTGTAGAGCAGTCACTTTGTAATATTATTTTTCTTGAGTTTTGTCTTTTTCTGTGTGGCAGTGGTGAAATAGGGCCTTCTAACCCCCTGGAGAAGTGACAGATCTGAATTTGGAGAGGACATGGGGAAGACTCAATCTTCATATCAGGTCTGAAGTGGCACCATCTTTTCTGTCTTCCTGACAAACTTCATCAACTCTAAAAGTTCCAGTTTGCAGAAATCCAAGAGAATTCAATAAAAATTACTTTGGGATCACTTGGTTGTAACATAACTGATTCACAGTGACTCTCCTAGTATTTGTGGAAAATCTGCTAAAGAAAAGTTAACTGTAAAATTCATATGATATCAGTGGTTAAAGCTACACTAAAATGAATTTTATATGCTAATTATATTCAAGAGTCCCTTGAGAAATAAGAGGACTAGGCTACTGTAAATATGTTATAAAGAGAGATAATCACATATCTGTAAACACATACAATTCCAAACTTAAAATAACCAGAATTATAGCTTATGTATTATGCAATGATTGTTAGGCAACTTAAAATTATACTCAAACTGTGTAGCTTAGAATATAAGTAAAAATAAATTTGTACAATGAAACAGATTTTAAGGCCAATATTTTAATAAAATAATCCATCTATAACACTTGCCCCTCTTCCTTTTGTGCTGTATATTCCAGTCACATGTTTGATTGTTGATAGAAATGAAGCTCTTTTTTAAGGCTGTTAACTTAAAGGAAGAGCATTGTTTCAACTGCTAGATTTTCACAAATCATAGACACATTTTTTTCTGAATTTAGCAATATACCTTAATTAGGTAGAATTAATTTTAAACATTTACTATCAACAGTAATATATGATGTCATGCTTTCAGCTTTGAATTTCAAGATAAAATTCAACTAAGTACTGCATGAAAGAATGGTTAACATGTTCTTAAAAGCCTTTCGGAGAAAAAAAAACAGTAATATTTTAACCTGCTACAAATGCTTTGCTATAGACACACACACAAATACATCTTAACCATATGCATCTTGTGGCCACATTATTTCCTTATTGTGAATAAACTTGTATATTTTTATTTTTGTTAACTATTCAATTCCTTATTCGTATTATTTTGTGTAGTATCAAAATGTTAATATTTTTTAAAATGCCTATTTTATTTTTATGCCTACTTCAAATGTTTTAGAGAGCTGCACTGGGATCTATCTTAAGGTATAGTGAATACACAGAAGTTGAGTCACTTAAAATTCTAAATGTAAGTTAGGATAGTAACTTGAATATTCACTCTAACAACTAGACTAACTGAAAATCAAAGGAGTTACAATGAGATAGTGGGTGCAAGAGGGAGAAGGGAGACTTCAAATACCATATGAAATACTTTAAAAGAAAATTCATAGGTGTTAGGGTCTAAGGAAGTACTAGAGTTAATCTGTTTTGGGAACTTATAGAATTGTAGGCTTCGTAAAATAAATAGGAAATATATAATATTATTAAAGGTACACCAAATAGAAATAATTCAATAATATTTTGATTGACTAAACTATTGAATTAGATTTACCAAAGAAAAGTGGCTTAAGTTTTGACTATACTAACTATAAATGTAATAAATTACATTAATTATAAATGGTATTAATGCACGTATAATGTGGTTTTCTATTAGTATAAAATGGACTTTTTGAATTATAAAGTATCTTTGTTACATTTTAAATCTATTGCTTTTATCTAATAAAATTTCCTCCTCAATGTTCAGAAGTTAAACTGTCTGTATGTTACTTTCACTTATGCTTTTTTTCAACTTGGCTCTTGTAAAAAGTAATTGGGTCTGGACACCAATCACTCATGTCTGTAATTCTAGCTACTCAGGAGGCTGAGATCTGAGGATTACAGTTCAAAGCCAGCCAGGGCAGAAAAGTCCCCATGAGACTTTATTTCCAATAAACTACTCAAAAAAAAAAGCTGGAAGTGGTGTTGTGGCTCAAGCAGTAGAATGTTAGCCTTGAGCACAAAGAGGCTCAGCGACAGTACTGAGTCCCGGGACTGGCAAAAAAAAAAATAATAATAATAATAATAATTGCGGAGCTGGACACTGGTGGCTGACACTTGTAATCCTAGCTACTCAGGAAGGTGAGATCTGAGGATATGGTTCAAAGCCAGCCTGGGTAGGAAAGTCCATGAGAGTCTTTTATTTATTTATTTTTTTGGGTCTGGTTGTGGGGCCTGAACTCTGGGCCTGGGCGCTGTCCCTCAGCTCTTCAGCTCAAGGCTAGCGCTCTACCACTTGAGCCACAGCGCCACTTCCG